TCTCTACTGAATTCACTGACAATACATACACTCCAGAGGGGGGACATCGAGGACAATGCGGACAATGGCTTTATTTGAAACTAATCGGGCGGATAAATGTCTTCAGAGAACGAGAGAGAGAGAGAGAAGTGTAGTGTAGACCTCACAGAAGATTTATATAAAAATGCATTACAGCTCCACAGCTCCCGCAGCCAATGCTAAAACAAACAGTCGCCGCCCATATAGTTGGCCGCGCGTGGCATCTCATGGCATCTCAACCATCACCGCATAGACACAACACTATCACTATTGCAGTACAAGTGCTGCACTTTTTTCTTCTCTGCAGCTCTTTATACATATATTTAAAGTATTGCTTCTCTGGTGTAAGCGATGGATACGAGTGCACCACAAGACAGGGCCCGAGACTGAGAGACTGCTCAGTCACTAATTCAGTTGTGACTAAAATATCTGAACCAACACTTCGTGTATTTTCACTCCAAACTCTATTCGCATATAGATTTCAAACACAACTATAGATTCAAGTATTTTTTGTTCACTCTCTATGTGTGTTGGCATTCATTTCATATATGAATACAAACCAAGTGTTGAAACACTTATTCTTTAAGTATTTGTTTACTTAAAAATTTGTTGTTTTCTTCAAATATACTTATAAATAAACTGCTGATAAATTACATCAATAATAAGCGATACGTTTATCGATACGCTTCGCCAACCCATCGAAATTGTGACAGAAATATAAATTCTGTGCAAATATTTCCAGTGATTCCCAAACCCGTGGATAAGAAAAAGAAGTGTTGAAAATGCTTGTGCCTCCGGATTCCCAGATCGGCGCAACTAAACTACTCTTTCATATTAATAAATATTGCAACGAAAGAGTTGTCTATCGGTGAGAGAATATTCAGTTATAATGTTTTTTAATGACATTTATATTATGATCCCAAGAATTGTTCTCCTATTTAAATATAACAAAATATGTTAGTTTCCAAATTTGTTGCAAATAATGACTACAAAATGGATAGCCGTTTGTTAATAAAACAGATAATCTTATTGTTATTTGTAATCCCTTTTGAATGAAACAAAATCTCGAATTTCATGAATAGTTGTTAAGTTTTCGGAAATCCATAAAATGTTTTAGGATTTTCTGTGTTAGCCATTAGTATAGCGCTAAATATGCCGTATATTTGTTATACAATTGGAACCCAATGTGACCTTCACTTATCTATTCATTCAATTTTTATGTCTTTATTTCGCTCTTTTTTGTGTCATTTTTATAGTTTTTCTCATGAAAACCGATTCATTAGTTTTTATTCCACTTCCTCTAAGATAACATACAAAACAAACCAAAAATAAAAATTTTGTCAAATGTTTTTATGTTATTCTGATAAATACAATGCCGTTTGAAAGTTTGCAAACAATTAAAAGCAAATTTTTACAATTCATGTATACAGAAGGGGACAAATCGCCAAAACAATCCGAGAGATCACTAAAATAGTTCAGGATGTGCTCAAAGAGGTGGAGGTCCAGGAGCCCAGATTCATATCCAGTCTCACCGAATGCAACGGTCATTACGAAGGTTTGTCACTATATTCTCTCATATATTCTCTCCATTCGCTTCTATTATAGAAATACTAATTTAAACATTTTACTTCTTATGAATATTTTGCCACAAATTAATGAAATTAATGTATAATTAATGTAATAATCATTCAATGAATAGTGTCTACTGTTCTTTATTTATGGATTGTTTGCATTCAATAAAATTTCATTCAAATCGATTCAAATAAAACAACATTTAACTCATAAATAATCCAATTTATGCTCAAAAAGGATGGTTTTGTGTTGATTTTAATTGATTGCTCTCTCCATACATCTTCTTATTTAGTTTCTCATAATTTTTTCTTATAAAACAATTACAAATCCAAACAATAATTATAATAATAATTCAAATAATGCTAACTAAGAAACTGGGAGTAAAAAAATGTATGAAATATCGTTTAAAGGCTTGCATTGAGTAGTTGTGAGCCAACAAAACGTGAGAAACGTTTTCAATCAATCTTTGTATGCCTTCACTAGACTTCAAACTGTGTTCTCAAATGTTTGCCAATAATTTACTCTTCATTAATGAGCGCTGATATCCATAGCATGTATTATATATACATAAACAGATCCAACAGATCCACACAAAACTCAAAATACATAAATTTATTTAAAATCTGAATCTCATTGAAAATATATACAAATATTTTGGCAAATTCTTGCCTTATTTTATGTTTTGAAAAAATCGCATATTTTATACGAAAACTGAAACATTTCATCGAAAATAATAATTTGGGCAAAAAATGTAGCGATAAAAGCCTTAATGAGAACGAGTGATGCTTTTTCTCATTAAAATCTCTGCAAATAATAAGATCCCAAATCAAAAGATAATTAGTTTGAATTTTAATTAGTTTTTTATTTAATTTTTCTTTTCTTAGAAAACAATTAGGGTATAAATCATTTATCAGATTATAGTCCGCTATTATATTACTATACAATAAAAGCAGTAAAACATTGATTTAATAAAAACCCAATTGTCTTTAAAGTAATAAATATTTAAAAATAAGATATTGTTTAATATTTATAAAAATTAAATGTCAAATAAAATACTTATTATGTGATTAGGTCTGGAAGTGATATCGCCCACAGAATTTGAAGTAGTCTTATATCTGAACCAAATGGGAGTTTTCAACTTTGTCGATGACGGCTCACTGCCGGGATGTGCTGTCTTAAAGGTATGCATAATATATGAGCTAAATATTTACAACATAGTTGTGTCGACACAACTACACCATAATATGACAACTAAATGAATGGTCTCTTTGTTTCTCTGTGTCCAACAGCTATCGGATGGCAGAAAACGGTCGATGTCTTTATGGGTTGAGTTCATAACAGCGAGCGGTTACTTAAGCGCACGTAAAATACGGTCTCGATTTCAAACATTAGTGAGTGAATTGTGAATCAAATCTTATATTCTGGTCATTAATTTTAAGTTGTTTTTTGTGTACAAAACACTTAAATATAGTGTATGTTTAATCGTTAAATCATTTTCACGCCCAACCATTTGTGTTGGAAATTCATAAACACATAAAACTATGCCCTAAAGGCTAATATCATAGAGAATATTGTTTTCTGAATTATATGTTTTGCGTACAAAAAGCTATATTATTGAATGTTATGTAAAACTCTGTACTCACGGTCTCGTACTGTCCCTCCCGTACAGGTGGCTCAGGCCTGCGATAAGAGTAGTTATCGGGATTTGGTTAAAATGATAGCCGACACCAGCGAAGTGAAGCTCAGAATCAGAGAGCGATATGTCGTTCAAATCACACCTGGTATTCATAACTCAATAATTTTGCCATTCATTGCATCATAAAGTGAGAGACAAAACCGTATATTAAAATCTTCTATTGGTCTGACAGCGTTCCGATGCAGTGGCCTCTGGCCTCGTTCGGCGGCGCACTGGCCAATGCCGACCTGCCCCTGGCCGCCGCCCAACATTGTTGCTGAAGTCAAAGCCGAGGGCTTTGACCTCCTCAGCAAAGAGTGTGTCTCACTTCAGGTCTGTTTCCCGAGATATCATTGCGGACACGGATTTAGACATCTAATGAACGCAAATGTTTTCAAATATAGGGAAAGCAAAGTTCAATGGAAGGCGACGCTTGGGTTCTCAGCTTTCTTGAGGCCGAAAATCGATTGCTTCAGGTTTTTATTATTTGCTATACTTTTATCATTATATTTAGTTTTTCTTCGTTTTACGGACAAAGAATTTTATTACTTATTTTGTGTACATTTTAATTGAATATAAAAATCTATTTTGTGTCAAATGTGCGAACAATAGGGCGGATGTCGTAAAAAATGTCTTTCAATACTGAAAACACTGCGCGACCGTCACTTGGATCTGCCGGGACTGCCTATCAATGCCTATCACTTGAAAACATTATTACTATACGAGTGTGAGAAACACCCGCGAGAGTGTGAATGGGATGAGGTTTGTCTCGGAGACCGCATCAACGGAATACTACTCCAACTCATATCATGCCTCCAGTGTCGGCGCTGTCCCCACTATTTCTTGCCTAATTTGGACTTATTTCGGGGCAAATCTCACAGGTTTGGCATTGATTTTGTTATATATTTTCAATCAATACATCGCTCACTATATTAGCGACGAAAGTGTGTCTAAACACACATTTTATGAATAGGTTAATAGCATAAAGAATCGATGTAAATACCATTTAGTATAACACCTGCCTATTATCCCAATTTATCCCAACATCACATCCAATCCCTTTGCCTAACATATTAGCCGATGCTTTCGTTTCAACGAGAAATTTAGCGATAATTTACTTTTTCATTTTGTATAACAAAAACAACTAGTAATACATTAATGTATTAAATGTGAGAATTTATTTTAAGCACTGAAATCGCATTTTGAATTCATGCAGAGAAATGCGATTTTAATATGTTTTCATTATTTCATTCATGATTTGTTTATTCAGTCGATTGCAATAAAAAACTAATCCAAAAGTCTTCTTTAAAAAGTTTTTCATTTATTTTTATATACAATGTTTGTAACTATTGATTAATGAGAAAAAATAATAATATATTTTGTAATTAATATGCAATTTATAGCTCACTTGAAAACGCAGCGAAGATGACGTGGAGACTCTGTCGAGAACTGCTAACTAATTCAAAATCATTTGATAAACTATAGGATTAAGAGCTCATTAAGAGGACCACTGAAAGCAAAATGTTTTTTATGAATTTATTTATAATTTAGATCTCGTTATTTTAAATTTATATAATGTATTGATAACATGTGTGAATGTATTTTTTATTTGTATTTTTTCCTCTTTTTATATACAATTTTGTTGAAACAATACACATAAAATCTGAGCCCATATTCATTGTATCCAAAATTATACAGTATTGGAAAACGATATTAATATAAAGCAATCGGATCTTAAGAGATGTGTTGCTCACGTTTTTATGTTAAATTGTATGGGAAAGGGAGGGACGGAACACATATTTCAATATGAATTGGTCCGAAAAACATTCAATGATTTTATAGCTGTCAGCCATATATTTGATAGTTTGCTAAAAATACGGACAAAATAATAAATTTTACTAAAATTGATTTCATGTATAAGAATCTGTATGTTTAGTGACGACCAAAATGTGTAAAAAGTTTTTATGTGAGAAGCAGTCAGTAGTCAATCGGAGAAAGTAGTCTTTATTTCTCTCTTATAGCCTCTAATCTAAAACAATTACTTCGCTATTACTGTATGTTTGGCCCGAAGGCCAGTCTTTTTTCAATTTGTTATAAAAATACACAAAACAAACATTTCTTTTTATTTACATAATATTTATAAATATATATATTTCTGTATATTTAAGGAGCAAATTGTAAAATTTATTCACTAGAGGTTTAACAAATATTTTGCAATTTATTAATTTTAAACTAATGGTTATGTAATGTTTTTAAGTTTAAGTTGTATTTTGCTTTACTTATTTATTATTGTAGTATTTATTAGTAGTGAAACAACTCATCGATCCATTGATTTTGAGAAAACATGAATAAAACTAAAATTTAAAAAAAACTCGCGTTTTGTTGTATTTTTGCTATTTCTTTGTAGTACAGTGGGACTCAGCATAAATGTAACGAATTGTACTGTAAATTATATGAAAATTATAAGACTTATGACAGTAAAAACACGTTCAAACTGTAGGTTATATATTCAACTTTAAGTGATGTGAGTTTTGTT